TTCATTGAAAAGATCGTCAGCTGAGTGAACAGCAGCTGGTGAAAGTTGTTCAAAGAGACCGAAAACTCAAGCGTCCACTGGCAAGGCTATGGCCTCCGTGTTTTAGAATGGGCATGAAATTTTGTTTCTTGACTACCTTGAGAAAGGAGAAACCACTAGTAGTGAATATTACATGGCGCTATTGAGTCAAGTGAATAAAAAAGTAAAAGAAAAATATCCTCAAATGCAAAAGAAAAAAGTACTGTTTCACCAAGACAATGCTCCGTGCCACAACTCCAAGAAAGGGATGGTCAAATTGAACGAATTTCACTTCGAATTACTTCCTCACACACCGTGCAGTCCAAATCTGGCCCAACACTACCTGGTCTGGATTTGCCAAATCTGGCAAAAGTGACCACTGACTGTTTTCAGATCTGAAAAGAATGCTCTAAGGAACGAGGTTCGGTTCAAATGAAGAAGTGATTGTCGAAGTTGAAGCCTATTTTGAGAGCAAAAACAAATCGTTCAACGAAAAAGGTATTAAAAAATTAAAAGATTGCTGGGTTGAATGTATCACTCTTGAAGAGGAGTATCTTGAATAAAATTAAATTTTGCCTAACATTTGTTATTTTATTAGTTAGGCCAGGGCCTTATTGAGTGATTTTTCATTCTTTAAATACGAAATTGTTCTTAAAATTCATTAATTCTATTATAAAATTATTTTCTTAATGTTGAAAATACAGTATATTCCTCCACATTCTTTTTCTTATTTTCTTTGCAGTTTTTCTTTCTTTATTATTTTTTATGGGTAAGATGTAAAAAATAAACAAATATTAATTTACAAAAAGGTGTAAATCATTATTTTTTTTTATATATATAGTATTTATGAATTTAAAATTAGCTTTATATAGTTTATAAAATATATTGAAAGATGAACCTATATATAACGAATTTTCCGTATAACGAACTTTTTTTCGGTATTTAGAGATTTCTTTAAATAGAGGTCTGACTGCATATATATATAATATTATTTTGAGAAAAATTGCTTAAGTTGCTTCCGGATTATAATTTAACTTCGATTTTTTTTTGTTATAGAATAACTGAAAACCAGACAGACAAAAAAGTAGAAAATGTTAATAGTTCGTAATAAAAATAAAAAAAAGTAGTTTAATAATAAAAATATTTTAACTATGTAAAAACATTACAGTTTTAATTAATTATTCCTATTATTTTTATGATACAAATATATTCGGAGATTTTTCCTCCTAAAACTCTTACATTTTAATAAATACATTTATTTATATATTAGACTTTCCCAATAATTCATTTCCATTTGTGACTGAAAGATAAAGCTCTTTGTGGGTATTTAAATGTTTCAAAATCCTGTATTCTATTTTATTGATATATACCGCTAATTTAATTTATTTTAATGTTAACCATCTTGGAAAAATAAATACATTTGTTTCACAGAAGCACATTTTAACGATGGAATATTTCAAAATTAAGCTGCATATGCTTTATGTCCCATTCAAGAATTGAAGTTCTAATCTAAACATAATGCTCCTTTTAACAAGGAAAATAAATGCGTGCAGATTCACATAATTTTAAATGGTCTGAATATATACCTATACACTTCATAATTTCTAATGTAATGTTCAGTTCTAATTCTATTAAAACAATGTACAATATATAATATTCATCATATTTTATTATTTGAAGTATTACTTATTTGCAAATGATATAATAAATTTAATAGAATGTAATTAATTATAAATTAAAACTTATAAAATTATGTTTTTTATTAATATTTAGAATACAAAAAATATTTATTTTTCACTTTATGCTGAGCATAACGACAGTTATTGTATTATATTCAGTTTACAGAGAGTACAATAATTGAAATACACAGAAGCATCAACTCTAGTAAACTGTAGCAGTTTGCTCTAGTACACAATTAACAAAACTAAATAAAGCCTTTAATACTGTTCATTATTGTACATTACATAAAAAAAAGTTCATAATCATTTATATTAAATTATTTTTTCAATAAACACAGCACATTTGATTTCAGATCAGATTATGACTAGTGGGTTATGGGTAGGTCTCAATTTTAGTACAGGATAATGGAAAAAGCTGCCTGCTGAAATGGGACTTTAAAAGTCCTCCAGCGGTGTGTTGGGGAATTTTTGCGATTAAAAATCAACTCATTTGTTTGTTTGTTTTGTGTGTGAACATAACGAGTTTCCACGGAAATAATTTTTCTTTTTGTATTGCTATGAGCTACGCGTTAACCAAATAGGTATCATTAGCTTTTAAAGTAATTTGAGCGCCTAAATTAAATTGTTTTGTATTTCAATCAATTATTGCTCAGCTTATTCGTGTTTTTGTTGTGTTGTGTGTTTCATACTAAGGTACATACGAAAGACAGATGAACAGAAACATACTATACAAACACAGAAGAATATAGACTTTTATTACAAACGATGATCAATACATAGTACAGAAGGGGTGAACTGTTTTCCGTTCGAGGCGGGAATCCATTTCAGACGAAAATCAACTTCTTTTCCTGAAGATAAATCCATGCTATATTTAGGATTCGAACCTGAGCCTACTCGATTACAAGTCGAGTGTCATAACCACCATACTAGGTGTGTGTGGGGGATATATTCGTCTTCTAAAGTTACAAATGAATTTCGTTTATTCAATCTTAAGGAAAAAAATACCACATTTGGATGAATTTGAACTTCTAAGAATCTAATTATTAGATACTAATAAGTTTAATCAAATTGCTAAATGCTTCGTTGACCAGTTTATTGTTAATGGCTAAAGCTTTAGAAGTAGTGAGTAAGTCATAGTAATATTACCATCGCACTATAAAGCTGCACGAAGGCTATTGGTGACGGGTCACGTAATTTTGAACCCTGGTCAAGTAACAAGGACGACACCTCAGTTGGCGTCCTCTATTCAATTTTTCAAACCGCACCAACGAGAGCCCGTTTGAGCCTCAACAGATTTAACGAACAGAGACCCCTCTACACGGCGGACCTTCAGCAGCACCAGGCTGGAGGTCATGATATACCAGACACGAATCTGTGACCTTGACCACTAGATTCCCATATCCACCAGGGGTAGTGAGAAAACATTCGATATTAATTTCTTAAAAAGCTGATCTCGGGAAAGGATAAAATAGAGCTATTAAGTATAATAAATATTTGTAGGTTTTTAAAAGAAATTTTAGAATGTTAAGGTATCCGACTGCGTTCGGAACCGTGATTAAAAAAAAGAGTATAAATTGATAATTTTCATTATATTTAGTGTCATTTGGATAAGAATATATGTATAAAATTGTTTTAAGAATATTATTAGAATAAAAAATTATTTAAATGCAATATTTTGGCAAAAAATGAACTTAGAATTGCCTATTTTCAAAATATTCTCCTTTCATGAAAAATGCTTCTATAATAATAGTATTTTGCTTATATAAAGCAAAGATTTTTCCAAAGGGTTTGAACTAGGATTTTTGAAAAATTCACATTATTTTCAGTTACTAACAATTAATTGAAATAATTATCGGTGTTTTTTTTTTCTTAAAATTTCTCCACTCTATTGTATTAAATTATGGATAAATCCATTTCTATTTTATATATTTCAAAAATCCTAGTTCAGATTTTGTAAAGAGCTCTGAGCTATTTATAAGCAAATATTATAATTATAGAAGCATTTTCCATAGAAGGAGAATGTTTTGAATATAGGTAATTCTATGTTAAATTTTTGCCAAAATATTGCATTTAAATAATTTTTACTGCAATAATATTCTTAAAACGGTTTTATACATGTATTCTAATCTAAGTAACACTAAATATCATAAAAAGTAACCATTTTTCCGCTTTTTTTAAAACAACAGTTCCTAACGTAGTCAGATACATTAAATTGATTTATATAAATAACTTCCTGGAAAAACTCATAAATTCTTTACGAAAATTAGTTTATTTATTAAAATAAAATGCAAGTGTAAAGGATAATTAGAAATAAAATATTGTAAATATATTTGAGCATAATTTTACTATATTAAAGTCAGTAATCATAGAATTTAAATAAAACCGATAGTAGGTGCAGTATTTGTTCATAAGTTAATGTATTTTATGGTCCCCCAAATATCTTTATTATAAGAACAGCAAAAGTTAAATTAAATTTTTAGCATATTCAGAAAAGTATGAAATTTTTCTAATGCTATAACAGTGACTAAGCTAAACGAAGCAAATTCTCAGTATAAATGTCCTATTGTACTAAGACTAAACATTTATGATGAGTAGAAGACAGTTTTTCTGCTCGAATACGTATCCTTTCTTGGTTTCTATGTAAGTATAAGAGCAAATAAAGGTACTTCTATCGATGGGAATTCATACGGCAAATAAATAACAAATATTCCAAAGGCTTGTTAAAAAGGAGGAAAAAATGTAAAAGAAAACTTATTCCTTCCCTTTTCAAGCTTTGAGCCTTGTCAAAACTAAAAATAATACCTTTCTTTGGGCCATATCCATAATAAAGAAAAGAGGAAGACCCCCTCCCCCCAAAAAAGAATAAAAGAAAGTACGGATATAAAAAAAATGAGACACTTATACATTTCTCTCACGCGCCGTGCCTGCAATCTGCAGTTGACGCTTCTCCACCATCCGATGCCCCTAAGTTATTGTTGTAAAGAAATCCCATTCTTCTGGCATTTCTCCGGATCGAGAAAACCTGGATAAAAACGGGAAAATGGGGGTGGAATCGGTAACAGGATGCGTAGAGTCTCCAGATTTAAAATACCAAACGAATTGTTTAAGAAATAAAGAAAAGTATAAACGCACGATGAAAAGGAAGATTGAAAGGACGCTTCTTCACTGTAACTTTAACGGGGAGTTCCAATTCCACCCCCTCCAGTTCTCCAACGATTCGAAAACGTTGTCGGTGGCATTCCTTATCCAAAAGAATGGGAACGAATTGCCAAATAAAAGCTGGATCAGACCGAGAAGGATCTCCGTCACTGTGACTTTTCGAATGAGTTTTCGAAAAGGAGTTTTAAAATTATTGGGGGTGTTATGAGGGTGCACCAGACTCGAATACATTTTATTCGTCTTC